CCAGAAGCAAGATCGATCATGTCTAGCTTCAATGATTCTTGTTGATCAAATATCTCAAGACAAGAACACTTGATTGAGATTCGAATCACTCCACAAGCAAGATTGATCATGTCGAGCTTGAATGATTCTACATGCAACCTAAACTACATAGAGTTGCAAATAAACTTAGCCATTGGCTAAAGAAAGCACAAATGCTCTTTTACTATATTTTTCAAGTCTACCTTACCAATACAACATACATGGCTTTATATAGCCTCAAAATGAAACTATTAAAGGCATTCCAAATGTTGACTTAATGGCCATAATTAGCCATTATGTAAATGTAACTAAAGTAAATAAAATGTCTTAAAATACAATAACTCAAAATTACTCTAAATGGTAACCCACCCAAAATTTATAACCATCAAACTTCATTCCTCTTTAATGTGACATGAATTGTAACCTCTTTTGATAATTTTGACAACATTTTCTTCACATCTTCATTGAAGTATATTGTATGAATGATGTCTCTTGGTTCATATCAAGAACTACTTCAAATTACGTCAATTTTCACAAATTGTAGCCTGACAAAAAATATCGCAAAAATGGCCCGAGAGTTTTTTTTGTGTGTGTGTGTGTGTGTTTTTACTTCTCATATATTTTAAAATATTTAAATTTTAACTTTCATCACCATAAATTTTTAGAATATTGACCGTACTCAGCTTTTTCATCAATTTTTGAAAATGACGAAATTATGATTTTCGCGCAAGGATTTTGCATTTCTAGGTCATTAACTCATGCTACAAGATTTTTTTCTTTCTTAATTTTTGCTTCAGTACTATTTCTTGAACGGAGCTCAATTTTTTCGTCGATTTTTGGAAATGACATGACTAGAGTTTTCGACTAGGGTTTTGCAATTTCATTGTACTCTTTCTTTTATATATATATATATAGAGTCTAACACCAGAAATCAGTGTTTCCGAAGTGCTTAAAATCACGCCAAAATCTCTCATTATAACCGTGGGTCGAGAGTGAAACTATTTTTTCAATTTTTATTTCTCATATGTTTTAAAATCATTATATTTGAACTTTCATAACTTTTCAAAATATTAATTGGAACTAAGCTTTTTGTCCATTTTTGGAAATGACGCTATTAGAGTTTTCGTACTATCATGTCATTAATTTTATGCTATAGGTTTTTTTTTCTTCTTAATTTAGAGTTTCAGACCTACTTAAAATCACGTCAAAGTTTCACTAATTGCAACCTGACGAAAGAATATTGCAAAAATGGCCCGAAAGTGAAACTACTTTTTCATGTTTTTACTTTTCATACATTTCAAAATCATCAAATTTTAACTTTCATCACCCTAACTTTTCAAAATATTAACCGGAACTCAGTTTTTCGTCAATTTTTGGAAATGACGCGATTAGAGTTTTCACACGGTCATGTCATTAATTTTATGCAATAGAGTTTTTTTTCTTCTTAATTTTTATTCCGTACTATTTCTGGTATATAAAAAGTTTCACTAATTTTAACATGATAAAAATATTGCAAAAATGGCCGTGAAACTACTTTTTAGTGTTTGTACTTCTCATACGTTTCAAAACATCAAATTTTAACTTTCATCACTATAACTTTTTGAAAAACGGACAGAACATTGTTTTCTCGTCGATTTTTAGAAACGACGTGATTAGGGTTTTTGTGCTTGGGTTTCGCATTGTCAGGTCGTTTATTCAATGCTACACTTTTTTTTTTCTTCTTAATTTTTGCTTGAGTACTGTATCTTTTATATATAGAAAGAGTCTAGCATGATAAATTAAGGTTTCAAAATTGCTTAAAATTACGTCAAAGTTTCACCAATTGTACACTATTTTTTTCATGTTTTAATTTTCAATATGTTTCAAAATCATCAAATTTTAAGTACCAAAGCTTTTCAAAATATTGACCGGAACTCAAAAGTACAATGCATCTAATCCTACTCGAAAAAGAAAATAGAGTCCAAGGAATATTTCATCCTATACTTAACATTTTTCCAATGGAAGACAAGGGTCTTTTTTTCAATTGAAGACAAGGGTCTAATGTACGGATGATGACTTGCTGAGGATGCCATGGAATTAAGTCTAGTTAGTTTTCCACACATAGGTCATATTGTCAATGTTAGGATAGATCAATGACATTTCAATTATTGAACTTTGATACAGGATCGCCTAATTTTATGTAAATAGCAATTACCATATGCACGTAGTAATAATTTTATTTTAAAAGAAAAAGTAGGACATATGTTTCCCTGGGTTTGGAGAATGTTGTCAACCACAAGGGTCCTAGGTCGAGGCGAACAATGATATGGCAAGTAGGTTTTCACACACTTTTTGAGACCTTTCCTTAAATCACTTCTAAATTGATGAGGAGCTGCCATGTCCTTCATATGCTTGCACGTTAGCAATAACGCAGTGTCTGCCAACGGGTCCTTGTTAGAAGCATATTATGTCCTGCCATAAAATCTCACAACGAGCCTAGATTGGAGTGAACTTGCAGGCATTTCCCTGTGATCTTAGAGCTCCTGCATATCTTTATAGTCACATGATTGTATGAGAATAAGAGATAACAATGCAAGGCATAGTTGATCCAACTGGAAATCTTAAACTTCATTACAACAAGATTCTTCATTGGACTGCCACCAATTTACTAATTACAGTCTTTCAGAAAACTTTTAAACTCAGAATCTTGCAGAGAAGCTTTATACAGCCATGTACAACAACAACAACAAGTGACTACATACAACCAATCACACAGCTAGCTGCTGATATTCTAAAGAATCAGCAGGCTGGGATCCAAGCCACTGAAAATGAAAACAAAAGGGAAAAAAAAAAAAAAGAACCAACTTCACCAGGTTTCGTTAATATACCCCGAACCTTTACAAAAAGCTCTTGTAGTACGGTTTCAATACGGGTATCAGCTTCATCCCACATAGGCATTCTCCTTGGAGACATGGCCACTCTTTAGGAAAGTTGAAGGTAGAGGAAGAGGCGGTTGCTCCGAGTCCGAACGTGATTTATCCAATTCTGATATTCCTAGCCCTCCCACAGTGGCAGGGATGGGCATGGGAACCTCTTCTGCTGGTTTAGGCGTGTAGTTGAATGAGAGTTCTCTGTTTGCAGCAAGTGCCACAAGATCTTTCTCCTCCAACCCTTGGGTCGGGCCAAGGCTGCATCGTTCCGTGTTGTGCTTGGCTAGCGCATCCTTGAATTTCTTAATCTGAGATAACACCAATTCTTTATCAAACAAGTGCATTAGCATCACAAGTTGTTAGGAACCCCAACTCTCCACAATGGTATGATATTGTCCATTTTGAGCATAAGCTCTCATGGCTTTGCTTTCGGCTCCCCAAAAGGACTCATACCAACGCTGTATTCCTTACTTCTAAACCCATGATCATTCCCTAAATTAGCCAATCAAACAAAGTACACTTAGAACCTCCCTTGAGGCCTATGGAGCCCTCAAAGAGCCTCCTCTTAATCGAGGCTCGACTCCTTCTCTGGAGTCCTCGAACAATGTAACACCCTTGTTCAACATTTGAGTCACTCTTGACTACACCTTCGAGACTCACAATTTCTTTGTTCGGCATTTGAGGATTCTATTGACATGACTAAGTTAAGGGCATGACTCTGATACCATGTTAGGAACCACGAACCTCCACAATGGTATGATATTGTCCACTTTGAGCATAAGCTCTCATGACTTTGCTTTCGACTCCCCCAAAAAGCCTCATACCAATGGAGATGTATTCGTTACTTATAAACCCATGATCATTCCCTAAATTAGCCAATGTCAGACTCCCTCCCAACAACCCTCAACAGAAGTTTGATACTCACGAGCCACCGAGGAAACCACAAAACAGCTCAATGAACATACACCAATCAAATATTATAATCTGATAACACTCTCAAACTATTTGAAGATGTCTTACCGTTGCATTAGTGCAGCTAAAACTACAAAGGCGGCCCTGCGCACCTCTGTAGAAGCGAAAGAAGGGCAGCACATGAACACCAAGGCTATAACACATGGATTTATGTTCTTCATAGTTCACTTGCAAAAATTGGATATCAGGATACATTTCAGCAAATTGGCACATCTGTATAGCATAAACAAACTTCAGAAGCAGGAAAACATGGAACATAGATTCTCCAAGACACTAAAGAATGAGGAAAGACCTTGGGGTGAAGAGCTTTGCAGCCACCACAACCAGGGGAGAAGAAAATAACAATAACAAGCTTATCCCCTGCACTTAAAAGAGAGTCCACAAAATCTTGTGCACCAGTCACATCTTTCATGTTAGGCTGCAACCCTTTATCCCACCATTTCTGAGCTTTTGGAACCCGAAACCCACTCTATTGAATAGCAACAAAAGGCTAACTAAACAAATTGCATAATAGTTCTGTTCATAATGACCCATATCACAATAATCAAAGAAAATAAACACAGAGAAGCTAAAGAAACAAAGAAAAAGAAACCCTAATATGAGGAGGAGGATGAAAATACAAAATTAGGGATACCGTCGAAGATCGTGTAGGAGAAACAGAGTTCCTGGAGATGTCCCTAGCTTCTGTAAACTCTATTATTTGGCTATTGGAGTCGCTGATCGAAAACGGCCGCAAGGTGGAGGGTAATTTGACAGAAAGGCGTTGGCAATTCAAGGGATAGGAAGAAGAATTGAGGGATTTAAGGGCGGAAATTGGTGGAGGAAGATGATTAGAAGAACGCAAAGAGGGGGCAAAAGAAATGTTGCTGACAGCGTCCGCCATTGAAATCAACGATGAATGTATTGAAATGGCAGCGATTGAAGAAAGTAGGAGGGATTAGGAGGTGGGAAATTGGGGGAAATTGGGGGAAATTTAAATGGATATATGGTAGGTGATAAGATGATTAAGAACGAGATAATCGGGGATGGAAATAGGGAGGTTGTGATGAAGTGGAGGAGGAGGAGGAGGAGGAGGAAAAGGGGAAGAGAGAAGTTTCTAGGCGAAGGAAAATGAACGGAAAATGGAGCGGTCAAGAAACAACATCGAAGATTTAGGGTTGTCAATGGATAACGCAACGTCCCATTGCTTTCGGGTTCTGTGGATATAACGGGAAACTGCAGACACGTGGTGGAACCACCACAGAGACCAGAAATGGATATCATTATCCAATTTCATCCTGGATAAACAAAAAAAAAAAAAAAATAAATAAATAAATAAAAAAATAATGATTCCTAAATACACAAATGTTTGGTATTTTTAGGAATCTAGCCTTCTTTCTTTCTTTTTCTTTTTCTTTTTCTTTTTTTTTTCTTTTTTGTTCCTCATGTCTCCAAAATAGAATGTTTGAAAATGAAATATCTGTGTTTAGTGTTACATAAAAGATGTTATCGAATTTGATATAAATAAAATATTTTCAATAATTATATTATATTATTTAATTTTTTATAATTAACGGTGGCAAGTAATTTATTTATTTAATAACTTTTTTGTTGAAATAAAATTAAATATAAATAAATTATTATTGAGTTATTATATTAAACAATTAAATAAATTTTAGACGTATAAGTTTTTAATTAAGGTATTAATTAAATAGTTTATTATTTCAATTATATACATTTTTAGAGTAGTGTGTATACATCAGTAGTTGATATAAAATAGTTAAGCAAATAAATAATTTATTATGTTAATGTATTTTCCATCAAAATGATTTAACAAATATAACCATGCTTATTTATATTAATTTATATACCTATAGAATAATTCAGTATATTAGCATTTAAAACATATTTTAAACTTTTGACTGAAAAAAGCGTATCGGGATTTTGAACCTTTTAAATGTAACGACTCGATTTCCTATTAAAAATAAAGTTATCATTGCATGCATGATATGTCTATTGCGTGTGAAATAATTTGCTTAAAATATTTTACAATTGATGTTGTGGACTTACACATTTATAATAAAGTCATTAAAACAATTTAGCGAAAAGCAAATATTTTACAATTGATGTTGTGGACCTACACATTTATAATAAAGTCATTAAAACAATTTAGCGAAAAAGAAGCCAAATGTATTTAAATAAAATAAAGGAAAATAAAGTATTGCCCAAAGTAATCTAAGGGTCATACAAACAACATGAATGGATGTCATTCATGCAAGGTACCTTAACTCTAACTAAAAATAAGAGTAACACCTAGCTTTGAGTATTTTAAAAAAACTTAGTAAGTAATCCCATTGTTGAGATCAGAAATGCATACACAAGCAATGGTGGGACTTATTCTTTTAAAAATATCATTACAAGACTTTGGAATTCGCTTTCCAATTTAGGTAGGGTTGGAAGTGCGGTACTTCCTCACACACGGGCCACGCACATGCCCATGGACCCACCAAGTGAGCTGTATATGTACCCCTAAGTCTGATTGGTCGAGCTAGCGCACGCTAGCATTGTGGACACCAAGGACACTAAAGGCCTACATGATATCATGACAAAGATAAATATTGTAAGGTACACGTCTTTACTAATGCAGAAGTATCCTAATGCACATAACACATATAAATGTATGAGATCTCCATAGCTTAAAAATCATGGTATATGTTTAAGATACAAATTGTACCTCCTTTCATTCATGATATAACATGAATACAGATAATACATACATTATACTTATCACATCTTCCATAATTAGCATACATAAGTTCGAGGGTTGTGCATCATTTGTCATTGATAATATAATATAACTCCATATTATGGCATGAACGTAGGGTTTAGGGTTTAGCATAACTTACAACATGGCACAACATAACATGACACAGCATAACATGACATAGTCTAACATAATAGAGCTCTACAACATAGCATCACATAGCGTAAATGTAAGATAGTACACGTCATACAATGATAAAATATGTTACATGTAGAACCACAGTGCATGTGTCGTTCATATAACAATCAAATCATCCAACCAAACCAAGAGTAACTTAACTCAGAGTCACTAATTTATCCTTGGAGATAGTCCGGATCTGTCACTTGAAATTGAAGTCAACTTATATGAGTTCACAACACTGGATTAGAATATGTTTGAGTGATTTAGTCTACCTAATCTTCATAATTAAACCTCTAATTTAGCATATAACATTTTAAATTGGCCAAACAGTGTCATACTTATCTTAAATGCCTCTATAAATGCCAAAATCGACTCTAATAGGGTCATAAAGGATAGGAAAGGAGTCTAAAATAGTGGAATGGGTTAAAAATGGCTAATTGAATAGACTAAGTTGTTAGGGTTGCCAAGAAGCCGAGCCAAGTCGTCGATGAGAAGAGGCATGGATCTCAACTCTGGTCGGGCATGCGGGTTTGGGCACAAGTCACGCAATTTAGATGAGAGGTTTGGCTCTGAAAATAGATGGGTTGACAGCTATTGGATTTTATTTAAGCCAATGGCAAGTTTGGCTCCAAACATGTGGTCTAGACGCTACTTCTAAATTTCAGGTTCTGTTTCTACTTCTAAATCACTACAAGTGGAGTAAGATTCGGATTACCTTGTTGATCGAATATCTCAAGGCAAGAATATTGTTTGAGATTCGAATCACTCCACAAGCAAGATCGATCATGTCTAGCTTGAATGATTCTTGTTGATCAAATATCTCAAGGCAAGAACACTTGATTGAGATTCGAATCACTCCACAAGCAAGATTGATCATATAGAGCTTGAATGATTCTACATGCAACCTAAACTACATAGAATTGCAAAGAAACTTAACAATTGGCTAAAGAAAAGCAGAAAGGCTTCTTTTACTATATTTTCCAATTTTCCTTACAAATACAACATACATTATTTTATATAGCTTCAAAATGAAACTACTAAAGCATTCCAAGAGTTGTAACATTCATACTTAATGGTCATAATTAACCATTATGTAATTATAACCTAAAGTAAATTAAAAGTCTTAAATTACATTAATGAAATACAATAACTCTAAATTACTTTAAATTGTAATCCACCCAAAATTTAAAGCATGAAACTTCATTCTTCTTTAATGTGGCATGAATTGAAATATCTTTTGATATTTTCAACAATATTTTCTTCACATCTTCATTGAAGCATATTGTATGATTGATGTCTCTTGGTTCATATCACTTCGACATGTTCTTCCGTTTGGGCAACCAAGCCCATCGAGTTATCCCTACGCTCGAAGCCACCAGCATTTTTGGCCTTGTCTTATAGGGTCTCGACCCTAGTCAGTAATTCGCAGACAGCATTGTGTAACGACCTAGATCCACCGCTAGCAGATATTGTCCTCTTTGGGCTTTCCCTTTCGGGCTTCCCCTTAAGGCTTTAAAACGTGTCTGCTAGGGGAAGGTTTCCACTCTTATAAATGGTGGTTTGTTCTCCTCCCCAACTAATGTGGGACATCACAATCTGATAAGAATCACGGTATTCCAACTGGACCTATTACATGATCCAAGGTGAAGAAGATTCAATAAACATTCATTCTTCATATACAAAATTGGATCGGCTCGATTCAACCATCATTTGTAGGATTAGAAGTTGATACGGTTGAAGTTGGAAAACTTTAAAATGTCAACAACAGGGTTTGAACCTACACGAAGTTTATTTCTTAAGCCACTCAAACATATCAATATTTGTTGAAAGATTTATTGTTTTTTTATTTTCATTTTGCAATGGTCAAATGGTCAAAATTGACTTCGTCTTTTATGGAGATTAAAGGGGATCGGGATTGAATCCCGGCCACAAACGTCTTTTGTCAAGAGACTATAAATACCCACAATATGTTATGTAAAAATCAGATTCGTGGATGAATGTAATTCAAATCTCAAATTGAGACGTTTTCCTTAGAAATCCGAGCATCATATTTGCCATTTCTAAGTTTCAAGCAATTCTTGTGGTAGAATTGCACCCGAGTCATTCAATCAAGCCTTGATCAAGTTCGATTGTGGAGTGACTCAATTTAGAACAAGGTTTTCAAATCTTGCTTCTAGATCTTCGATCATAAGAGGTAATCTATAGCCTTATCTCTTGGTTGATCCAAATTTCGTATAAGGAGGTGTTAATTACTTTGATTCAAGGGTTCTTGTTTCAACAAAAGCTTGGATCGTTGGGCTGAGGATTAGGGTTGTCTTATCAGTTTGGTATCAGAGCCTAGGTTTACATCTTTGTGGCCGACTCTAGAATTGATTTTATCTTTCTTTTCTTTAAATTTGTCCATTTATTTTCTTGCTGTCATTTCCGCCATTATTCATTAACTTTTCACTTTGTTCTCATTTTCTTTCTAAAGATCACGTTGAGATCTTGAAAAAAAAAAAACAAAATCTTATCATATTTGTTCTTACGATTGTGATTATAAACGATATTTATCATTTTTTTTAGATCATTTGCATGTTTATTTGAAGATCAAATAAACTTCGATTCACATCTTTTTCTTAATCCATATAGATCTAGAACCGTTATGTTTGATATATTTTTTTTCTCATAATCCACGCTTGAAGATAACTTCTAAATTTCCCGAATTCTGTAAAAAGGAGAGTTAGATCGTTCTTAAAATCTTCGTGTCCCTTATTTGTTTGTTCACATCTTGTTTTATTTTGTTGTTATTTCATAATTAACTTATCTTGATTGCCTTGAATAGCTTGCTACTATTAGAATTTCTTTACCGATATATTAACCTACCTTGATCATAATTTAGTCACTTTCCCAAGCAGCCTACCTTTGTGTATATAAACACGAGTGTCCCTAAGTGTAAAATTAGTGAGTTGAGTGTGTGAGGTCTTAAACATATTCCACTACTGTTTGTATAATCATGAACCAAGACGAAGGAAATGGAGGGGAGATCAATGAAGCTAGGTGGAGAGAAGCACAGGTCGGAACAATTACTCGTTTGAAATAGCCTTAGGTAATCTTCAAGGGAGGGAAGTACTCTTGAATGAAGGAGTTGAAAATGAAGAAGATGACAATGTCACGTAATCTTCAAGGGAGGGAAGTACTCTTGAATGAAGGAGTTGAAAATGAAGAAGATGACAATGTCACCCTTTTAGGGGGACGTAATCTTCAAGGGAGGGAAGTACTCTTGAATGAAGGAGTTGAAAATGAAGAAGATGACAATGTCACCCTTTTAGGGGGACGTAATCTTCAAGGGAGGGAAGTACTCTTGAATGAAGGAGTTGAAAATGAAGAAATGAAGAAGATGACAATGTCACCCTTTTAGGGGGACATAGTCCTAGAGAGGGAGTGATAAGAATCATGGTGTTCCAAATATTCCAACTGGACCTATTACACGATCCAAGGCGAAGAAGATTCAACAAACATTAAAATGTTTTAAGGTTTGAACCTACACAAGTGAAGCTTAATAGATTTCAAGTTTATTTCTTTAACCACTCAAACATATCAACATTTGTTGAAAGATTTTATTGTTTTTTTGTTTTCATTTTTGCAATGGTCAATTGGTCAAAATTGACTTCGTCATTTGTGGAGATTAAAGGGGATCGGGATTGAATCTCGTTCACAAACGTCTTTTGTCGGGAGACTATAAATACCCACAATATGTTATGTAAAATTCAGATTCGTGGATGAATGTAATTCATATCTCAAATTGAGACGTTTTCCTTAGAAATCCGAGCATCATATTTGCCATTTCTAAGTTTCAAGCAATTCTTGTGGTAGAATTGCACCCGAGCCATTCAATCAAGCCTTGATCAAGTTAGATTGTGGAGTGACTCAATTTAGAACGAGGTTTCTAGAGCTTTTAGATCTTCGATCGTAAGAGATAATCTAATTCTAGCTTTATCTCTTGGTTGATTCAAATTTGGTTCTTGCTTCGACAAAAGCTTGGATCGTTGGGCTGAGGATTAGGGTTGCCCTATCAATTTGGTATCAGAGTCTAGGCTTACATCTTTGTGGCCGACTCTAGAATTGATTTTATCCTTCATTTCTTCTCTTGTTTATCTTTTCTTTAAATTTGTCCATTTATTTTCTTGCTGTCATTTCCGCCATTATTCATCAACTTTTCACTTTGTTCTCATTTTCTTCCTAAAGATCATGTTGAGATCTTAAAAAAAAAAAAAAATCTTATCATATTTGATCTTACGATTGTGATTATAAACGATATTTATCATTTTTTTTAGATCATTTGCATGTTTATTTGAAGATCAAATAAACTTCGATTCACGTCTTTTTCTTCATCCATCTAAATCTAGAATCGTTGTGTTTGATATATATATATATATATATTTTTCTCATAATCTATGCTTGAAGATAACTTCTAAATTTCCTGAATTCTGTAAAAAGGAGAGTTAGATTGTTCTTAAAATCTTCGCGTCCTTTTTTTTTGGAATTTTTTTTCAGTGTGCAATTATATCCAAAAATATCTTCGTGTTCCTTATTTTTTTTTGTTCACGTCTTGTTTTATTTTGTTGTTATTTCATAATTAACTTATCTTGATTGCCTTGAATAGCTTGCTACTATCAGAATTGCTTTACCTGTAACGACTCGACATTTTCTACTTAATTTAAAGTCGCTACTGTATACATACCATAAACATTGAATGCGGAAGACTTCATTTAAATTCCATAAAACATAACCTTTAACTTAAAACACAGCCATGGACTTGCGTGTTTCGAAAACATCTTTAAAACGACACAACAAAAGACTCGAAATAAAATAAATAAGCGTTTAAGTTTAAAACATCATATTCTATCCTAAGTCTAAGAAAATAAATGTCACTATCCTATGCATATGTCATGATCTTGAGTTGCGATGTCGTCATCAGCCGTACAGGAATGCCTTGCCTTAATCTGAAAAATGTAGTAGCACATGGCTTGAGTATTTAAAGAAATACTCAGTAAGTGACCTCACTATTGGGGTTAAATGCAACAATCACATGAAATAAAATGATAGGACCTATCTTTCGTTTCGTTTCATTTCGTTTCGTTTTTCTACGGTGTAATCCTAACAGGTAATCGTGGATGTGTACCATATACTCTACACGCAGCCCATACGTGCGAGTATGGGCTCACCAGCTAGTTCGCACACCGCTGGGCCACTGTCCCTAGCCGGTGGGCATGCTCTGGGGCCCACCGGGACCCGTTAAAACTAAAACCGTCACGGCAGCGCTATGCAGGGCGTAACGATCGTTGTCCTGTCATTTGGATGTACGCGTCCGTACCCTTGTGATGGGATAGGGGTATCCCCCCAAATGCATGATCACACAATATGCATGAGGTCCCACTAGTCCTATAGTCATCATTTAATGAACATAACCCCGTGTCATGTTTTCATGCTTACATGTCATTCTCATTCTCATTTCGTTACATATCATACATATTCCTAGAGGGGTTATGTATCATGCAATTTACCGTATTTCATGTCATACAATTCATTCAGTTACATTCCAATACTCATACAACAAGCCATAATCGTACAAGGCCACACATCGTCACATGCATTCGTATCACATCAACTAAGCAGCATAAATAACATACATTCACGTTCACATGATTTTGTACTTAAGCACAATAATCTAGCATACAATGTATCATATCATAACCAAGTCATAACGTAAACACTTCATAGTTATATCGTTCTCTAACTTACCAGGGCCTTAACGTTCTTATACCTATCATAGACATATCATTACGTGATGTACCTTAGTCATATCGTCACAAGAACGTACCCTAACGCTATCGTTCTATCAATCTATCACAAACCTATCCCTTTCTACCCATAACCTAACCGTATTATTTCATCAATCTCTCCTATCCATAGCACTCTGGTATGTAATCTAACTCTAACGTTTCATGAACGTATCTTACTCCTATCGTTACATTTCGTTTTGTGCATCCTTCTCGTACCCTATCTCAAACATATTGATATGAACCAAGAGACATCAATCATACAATATGCTTCAATGAAGATGTGAAGAAAAGGTTGTCAAAATTATCAAAAGATGTTTCAATTCATGCTACATTGAAGAAGAATAAAGTTTGATTGTTGTAAATTTTGGGTGGGTTATAATTTAGAGTTATTGTGTTTTAAGACTTTTTATTTAATTTCGGTTACATTTACATAATGGCTAATTATGGCCATAAAGTGTGAATGTTACAACTTTTGGAATGCCTTTAATAGTTTCATTTTGAGGCTATATAAAGCCATCTATGTTGTATTTGTAATCGGACTTGGAAAATATATCAAAAGAAGCATTTGTGCTTTTCTTTAGCCAATGGCTAAGTTTCTTTGCAATTCTATGTAGTTTAGATTGCATGTAGAATCATTCAAGCTCGACATGATCAATCTTGCTTGTGGAGTGATTCGAATCTCAAACAAGTGTTCTTGTCTTGAGATATTTGATCAACAAGAATCATTGAAGCTAGACATGATCGATCTTGCTTCTGGAGTGATTCGAATCTCAAACAAAATGTTCTTGTCTTGAGATATTCGATCAACAAGGTAATCCGAATCTTATTCCCCTTGTATTGATTCCTTATCTTATCACATATCCTTGAGCACATCGTACCATAATTATTATCATACAAACCACATATTATAACATAACATAACATATAGGAAGCATATCGATCCACAGACAATTCACACATATCCATATATATGACACGTACAGAACCACTGGGCACGTGTCAACATCAAATATAACCATGCCAATAGTAAGGTCACTTACCTGGCTAGCTTACGTCGTTTGTCACAAATATATCTTTAATGAAAGTTCGATTTCGTCCTTTGAAATCCGAGTCAACCTATATGAGTTTATAACATCAGTTTCAAGTTTGAATTCTATAAAATTATTTCTCTAATTTAGATTGGCCATCGTACAATTCTGATATTTCGTGTTAGACAAAATTTAAAGGAGCTCACTCTGATATTTCCTGTTAAATCCTGTTCAACAAATCTTTCCTCTTCTTCTGTAATTATTTTTAAGAAGGTATTATTCAATTTCGTTAATCTATTCCTACTTCCAAATCTTCTCTTTTTATTTTTATTATTATTTTTCAACAGTGTTATGTATTTCTATCTCTATCTCTATCTCATTTTTTTCTTATTTCCTTTGTCTTCTTTCTGATTTATTTAACAATTATATTCATATAAAATTACAACCTAAATCATTGCAACAATTCAGTAGATCTAAATCATTGCAACAATTTAGTAGATCTAAAATATAATTGGTTTTGATTTCCTAAACTCATACAAATCCTTTTCATTTAATCTCTAATTCAAAACTAAATAATTGTAACCAAATTAATATTATTTAATAAAATAAAAGGAAGATTTAACATATTGACCTCTTCAAATTACATATCTCCTTTGATGGAGCTAGTTTGCTTAAACCTTTTGTTTTCTATTTCTATTTGTTTTTGTAGGAAGGAAGAATTATGGGTAAATCTGCAGTTTATTTTTACAGAAAAGAGATTAGTGATTTGTAGGGGGGGAGTGGTGAGAGATTGAAGGAAGGAGAAGGCATCCGTTACCAAATGTTTTTCTTCTTTTAGTTTTTATTTATTTATTTATTATTTTATTATTTTAACTATCTTTTTATAATTATTTTTATTTCTTTATTTATTTTTGGGCTATTACATTACCGATATGTAACGACCCAAAAATTTTGAAGGTCTCGAGCCACGGATCATTACTCAAGAATGTCGAAATAAGAAAATGCATAAAATTTAAAACATTTAAACACGTGCATGTAATTTAAAATTTAATTAATGTAGTAATGAAAATTTTGTTTTTATAAAGAAAAGAGAAAAGACCACTAAGATACAACATCTTTCGGACAACTATTTAAAATACATGAAAGGTTGGATTTAAAGGTAGGTACAAAGAAACTCGACTTAAATGTGTTGGAACTCTCTATAGCCAACAGCCCCGTGTGCCTTCGCCTCGACCGCTACATCAATTTCCACCTGAAAAGAAAGTTGGAGTAGCAGGGATGAGTATATAAAATATACTCAGTAAGCAGCTTGCTGGTAGTTCATATTTCGTTATTAAGTCTTATTAATCTTGTTCCCATGTTCGGTATCTTATTCTCTCACCGGGATTCATTCTCCCGTATAGGCTTCTTCCTAGGTTACAGCCTAAGATTTCTCATTCCACTCTCTTGGTTCACGGTCCTATCTGGACCTCCAGCCCTCGGAATATTCTTAGGTCCTCTAGGTCTTCTAGTTAGTCGCTTTTGCTAGCCACTCTGATCACTGTCATCATATCTCCAGCACTCGAGGCGCGACCTCAGTGTTCAGGGTTCATGCATTCTAAGACTCGACCAACTCTCAAGTGTACCACTGTAGACCTCTACCACTCGTGACAGGTTCACTTAAAGGAAACTAACTGGCAAACTTCCTATAAGTCCCTACAAGGTACCATCAACAATAAAATGGCCAATTCTATAGTTACGCGGACTCCTGACGATCGAGTCAGGTTTACGATTAGAGGTTAGTTGGCGAACCCCTAATCGTCCCCGAATAACTGCTAATATCCTATGCATGAACAGTAATCCTCGACCAACTCTAATGTACCAACGTGGACCCCTGTCTCGACAGGTTCACTTAAAGGAAACTAATTGGCAAACTTCCTATAAGTCCCCACAAGGTACCATCAACAATCAAATGGCCAATTCTATGGTTACGCAGACCCCTGACAATCGAGTCAGGTTTATGGTTAGGGGTTAGTTGGCGAACCCCTAATCGTCCCCGGATAACTGCTAATATCATATACATGAACAGTAATCCTTGACCAACTCTAATGTACCAACGTGGACCCCTGTCTCTCGTGACAGATTCACTTAAAGGAAACTAACTGGCAAACTTCCTATAAGTCCCCACAAGGTACCATCAACCATCAAATGGCCAGTTCTATGGTTACGCGGACCCCTGACAATCGAGTCAGGTTTACGGTTAGGGGTTAGTTGGCGAACCCCTAATCGTCCCCGGATAACCACTAATATCATATACATGAACAGTCCTCGACCAACTCTAATGTACCAACGTGGACCCCTGTCTCTCGTGACAGGTTCACTTAAAGAAAACTAACTGGTAAACTTCCTATAAGTCCCCACAAGGTACCATCAACAATCAAATGGCCAGTTCTATGGTTACGATGACCCCTGACAATCGAGCAGGTTTACGGTTAGGGGTTAGTTGGCGAACCCCTAAACGTCCCCGGGTAACCGCTAATACTGTAACATATGTGACAGAGGCATAATATAATGATCTAATCATGGAAAGCTAATCATGAATCTCAGTTCATAAGGTAGTGCATATGCGTTTCGATAACGTTTCAGCAAACATACATAACCCCAATCAAGATGTGTCATCTCATCTCATTCTATGCTCAAACTTCTAAAACATACTTCTTATATCATACTTTCATGCATACTATGAGCATAGTTAGATTCAAGGTTCCGAGGTCCCACCTACCTGAAAAGCGTGTCACTTTATGTTCGAATTTGCGTCTTTAGTCCAAAATTTGCCAAACTCCTCGGATAATTCCTACATTGGTGCAAAAATGGAGAATACCCTGAGAACGACGTCAAGATCAGAGTTAAAGTGCGTGAGTTAAATCAAAAGGGCCAAACCGTCCCAATTAAGTCGGGTCCGGTCGGCTGGACCTCTACTTGGGTCGGGCTGGCTACTCCCTGGTTTGCGCACCCGTGGTGGGCAAGGCAGAACGCACGCGCCTGCATTGGCCGCACGTAGGCCCGCGCTGGGCCATACGAGGTGGACGCCCTTGCTGGACCACGCGAGGCAGTGAGGCAAGCGCCCACGCAAGACATGGAACCATCGTTTTCCCCCGACCCCTCTTTCTCTTTCACTCACCTCTGCATGCTCGTCGTCGCCTCATCCTCTGATTTGCTTCCGATGCCCACGATCCTCCTCAAATCTCATAGATCGTCCTCTCGCAAACACATAAGACCTGAAATCGGGTCAATCCCCTGAAGGTTAGGGGATGAATCTAACGGTAGAAGCTCTAAAAAAAACCCATGAACGTATCTTGGCATTCTTCCTTCGTTCGACTTCCCTCCTTGATTTGTATCCATCCGAAGTCGACCGCCGAACACCCGTGGATCTAAAGATCAAGTGTCTCGGGCGAGCGTGGGTTGGGTTTCAGTCTCCTACCTCCAGCAGTGCCTTCTCCTTTCGACAAATGGCAAGCCACCTTAAGCCCACTCTCACCCCTTCCATTCTCGCAGGTCTCAGATGAGGGATGGGATGTTGGAGTGACTGACCGATTGCCCTATCATTTCCTTCTTTTCTCTATCTTTTTTTTTCTTTTTATTTATTTATTTATGATTATTATTATTTATTTATTTAGTCATACCTCCTTTGGACGGCTGGGTATTACACGATATATTAGCCTACCTTGATCATAATTTAGTCACTTTCCCAAACAGCCTACCTTTGTGTGTATAAACATGAGTGTCTCTGAGTGTAAAAGCAGTGAGTTAAGTGTGTGAGGTCCTAAACATATTCCACTACTGTTTGTACAATCATGAACCAAGATGGAGGAAATGGAGGGGAGATCAATGAAGCTAGGTGGAGAGAAGCACAGGTCGGAACAATTACTCATTTGAATCAAGTTATTAGTACATTTACAGACCGGATGGAGCGAATTGAAATAGCCTTAGGTAATCTTCAAGGGAGGGAAGTACTCTTGAAAGGGACATAGTCACCCTTTTAGCGGTACATAGTTCTAGGGGAGGGAGAGAAGTCGGTCGAGGGAGAGTGATAAGATAAGGAATCAATACAAGGGGAATAAGATTCGGATTACCTTGTCGATCGAATATCTCAAGCCAAGAACACTTTGTTTGAGATTCGAATCACTCCAGAAGCAAGATCGATCATGTCTAGCTTCAATGATTCTTGTTGATCAAATATCTCAAACACTTGTTTGAGATTCGAATCACTCCACAAGCAAGATTGATCATGTCGAGCTTGAATGATTCTACATGCAATCTAAACTACATAGAATTGCAAAGAAACTTAGCCATTGGCTAAAGAAAAGCACAAATGCTTCTTTTGATATATTTTCCAAGTCTGATTACAAATACAACATAGATGGCTTTATATAGCCTCAAAATGAAACTATTAAAGGCATTCCAAAAGTTGTAACATTCACACTTTATGGCCATAATTAGTCATTATGTAAATGTAACCGAAATTAAATAAAAAGTCTTAAAACACAATAACTCTAAATTATAACCCACCCAAAATTTACAACAATCAAACTTTATTCTTCTTCAATGTAGCATGAATTGAAACATCTTTTGATAATTTTGACAACCTTTTCTTCACATCTTCATTGAAGCATATTGTATGATTGATGTCTCTTGGTTCATATCAGAGAGGAAGAGTCAGAAGAAGGGGTAGAGAAACTTTAGCACCAAAAAGAATTGAGAGGGAGTACCAGTATGAGAGAGAAAAAGAAAAAGGAGTTGGGGGAGTAAAGCTTAAAATTCCAACTTTCTATGGGAGATCTGATCCAGAGGAGTATTTGCAATATGAGAGCAAAATTGAGCATGTCTTCGATTGCAACAATTTCAGTGAAGAAAGAAAGTTGAAGCTTGCTGTGACTGAATTTTGTGATTATGCTATTATATGGTAGACATCTTTGAAATCAAAGTGGAGGAGAAATTATGAAGAACCAATTAAAACGTGGGAGGAATTGAAGACATTAATGAGAAAAAGGTACATTCCTAAGCATTATTCTCGAGTACTCAAGCCTAAACTCTATACTTTACAACAGGGATCCAAAAGTGTTGAAGATTATTACAAAGAAATGGAGACCCTTATGAATAGAGCATGTATTGATGAAGATGAGGAAGATTGATATGAACCAAGAGACATCAATCATACAATATGCTTCAATGAAGATGTGAAGAAAAGGTTGTCAAAATTATCAAAAGATGTTTCAATTCATGCTACATTGAAGAAGAATAAAGTTTGATTGTTGTAAATTTTGGGTGGGTTATAATTTAGAATTATTGTGTTTTAAGACTTTTTATTTAATTTCGGTTACATTTACATAATGGCTAATTATGGCCATAAAGTGTGAATGTTACAACTTTTGGAATGCCTTTAATAGTTTCATTTTGAGGCTATATAAAGCCATCTATGTTGTATTTGTAATCAGACTTTGAAAATATAGTAAAGAAGCATTTGTGCTTTTCTTTAGCCGATGGCTAAGTTTCTTTGCAATTCTATGTAGTTTAGATTACATGTAGAATCATTCAAGCTTGACATGATCAATCTTGCTTGTGGAGTGATTCGAATCTCAAACAAGTGTTTGAGATATTTGATCAACAAGAATCATTGAAGCTAGACATGATCGATCTTGCTTCTGGAGTGATTCGAATCTCAAACAAAGTGTTCTTGGCTTGAGATATTCGATCGACAAGGTAATCCGAATCTTACTCCCCTTGTAGTGATTCCTTATCTTATCATTTGGTATCAGAGCTTCAGGCTCAAGATCGGATATATGTTTCCTTTGCATTTTTTTTGCAAAGGAAACATTCTCACCTCTGTTTGCAAAGGAAACATTCAAAGATACAATGGCTAGATTTCTTGGTGGGTTAAACAGACAACTTGCTCATCAAGTGGATAGGCAAGCGTACTTTGATATGCAAGAATTGTTACACCTTGCTGTCAAAATCGAAGGGCAACTAGCTTGGGAGAAGGAGAACTCCAAGAGGTATGATATTTCAAAGTCTACTACTTTCAACACTTGGAAAAAGAATGCAAATATTGAAAAGATAGATTTCAAAGTTGGAGGCAAGTATGATCTTGACAAAAAGAACAAAGTTGAGACCTCCAAGGGTAAAGAGAAAGTGGAGGAATATAAGGAGATTCGAGAAAGAAATAGAGACATAGAATGTTGGAAATGTTAAGTAATTGGTCATCTTAGTCATGATTGTCCTAATAAGAGAGTCATGATCATCAAGAATGGACAAGTTTTCACAGATAGTGAGGAAAGTGACCATGATGAGCTAGTTGAAGAGGAAATCCAGGAGAATGAGGAGGAACTATAAGATGGGAGTCATTTGGTACTTGTAACCAGAAGACTTCTTAAAACTCAAGTTACAGAGAATGATGTTGATAATCAAAGAGACAACCTATTTCACACAAGGTGTTTAGTCAAGGGGACTCCTTGTAGTCTTGTAATTGATAGTGAAAGTTGCACCAATGTCGTAAGTACAATGCTGATCAAAAGGTTGCTAATTCCAACCCAACACCATCCTAAACCTTACAAGGTTCAATGGCTCAATGACAGTGGAACAATGAAGGTAACTTCTCAAGCTTTAATATCTTTTACTTTAGGAAAATATAAAGATGAAGTTCTTTGTGATGTTTTACCAATGCATGCTGAAGACATATTGCTTGGCCAACCATGGCAATTTGACAGGAGGGTTATGTATGATGGCTATTTGAATTGGTATTTTTTGTAAAAGATGATAGAAAAACCACTCTTGTACATTTGAGTTCTGCAAATGTATTTGTTGATCAATTAAAGTTTGAAGAAAAAAGAAAGAGTTTGAGGAAAAAGAGTTTTGTGAAAAAATAGAGAAAAGTCAACGAGAAAACCATAGTGAAAAAAAGAATGAAATTGGAAAAAAAGAAAAGAATGTGAGTTGTTTGGCTAGAGTTGGAGAGGTTTAAAGGGCAATGTTCTCACAAAAAACCATCTTTGTACTTGTGTACAAGGAAGGATGTTTGGTCTCTAACGATAATAATTTGTCTTTGCCTAGTATATTTCAATCTCTTTTACAGGAATTTGATGACGTATTCCAAGATGAAGTCCCTAAAGGACTACCTCCCATTAGAGGTATTGAACATAAAGTAGACTTCATTCCAGGGGCAGTAATTTCTAATAAGCCAGCTTATAGAGTCAACCCAACTGAGACTAAAGAAATTCAAAGGCAAGTAGATGAGCTTATGGAGAAGGGCTATATACGAGAGAGTTTGAGTCCATGTTCTATACCAATCTTATTGATGCCGAAGAAAGATGGAACGTGGTGCATGTGCGTGGATTGTAGAGCCATCAACAAAATCACAGTAAAGTATCGACATCCTATTCCTACGCTAGACGATATACTTGATGAATTGCATGGTTCATGTTTATTTACAAAGATTGACTTGAAATCTGGATATCATCAAATTAGAATGCATGTAGGAGACGAATGAAAAATTGCGTTAAAAAATAAGTTTGGATTGTATGAATGGCTTGTTATGCCTTTTGGGTTAACTAATGCTCCTAGTACATTTATGCGCTTAATGAATCATGTTTTGAGAGAAGATTTAGGAAAGCATGTTGTTGTGTATTTTGATGATATTTTAATTTATTCAAAGACCTTGCATGAGCATGTGGAGCATGTTAAGTTAGTTTTGATTATACTTAGAAAAGAGAAACTCTATGCTAATTTTAATAAGTGTAGTTTTTGCATGGAAAAAGTTAACTTTCTTGGTTTCATAGTTGGTAAAAATGGAATAGAAGTAAATGAAAAGAAAGTTAAAGCAATCAGGGATTGGCCAACACCACAAAATGCAAGTGACGTTCGTAGTTTTCATGGGTTAGCTAGCTTCTATAGAAGATTTATAAAAGATTTTAGCACCATAGCTGCACTATTGAATGACTTAGTGAAAAAGAATGTTGTTTTTAGATGGGGAGATATGCAAGAGAATGCATTCAATGTTCTATCAGAAAAGTAAGCTTTGTATTCCTAAATGCTCTATCAGAGATTTGCTTGTAAAAGAAGCACATGGTGGTGGCTAAATAGGACATTTTGGGATTAACAAAACTTATAATATGTTGCATGAACACTTCTTTTGGCCGAAAATGAAGCATTATGTTCATAAGTTTTGTAGTCAATGCTTTAAATGCAAAGAAGCTAAATCTAGATCACAACCAAATGGATTGTACACTCCTTTGAATGTA